TGGTCTTTGACTCTATCTTCGAAGATACGAATATCGATCAAGTATTAAATTCTAATTTTGAATAGAAGAACTTAGCGAATAAAACAAACATAAACGTCTGATACAGAATAGAACTTAGACGAATTAATATCATCATCGAATCTTAACAATAAATCGCGACTAAAATACTTGAAAAATAATCGAAAAGAGGAAACAAGAACGCCTCGCTCACTGAAGCTTAGAAAATAAGGATTGTAAACCAGAACACAACTCAACAAAATTATAATAAACAAATTTGTTTGTACAAAATTCGACTTTTAATCTCGGACATCGTACAAACTGGCGCTGCGAGTAAATACGACCCACTTTATCGTTATTGGAGACAGCGATAAAGTACTTTTAAATTTGTCTGGAGTCCTTTTCAAAAACCCTCTTTAAAAGAAGGAAAAAACGGCGGAATTTAAGAGAGTTAACGAGATATTTTACGGAATTTGAGCTTCAACGGGACAATAATTTCAACGGAGTATAAAAACCAACAGAACGGGATAAAAGGGTGATCGGACAAGGCGACTGTAACAGACAAGATTAGTTTCGAAGGAACTAAGGACAACACGGGAACGAGGATCTTTGGAAACATTTCAAAAAGAGGGGGAATTTATCAAGTAAGTGAAATTTTTCTTGTATCAGTAGGGTATGATTAGGACAAATGAATCAGCTTAGGTTAGAAAAAAAGCGATTAGAAAAAGAGTTAAAAAAATTAGAGTGGTCTAGTGGGAGACGAGATAAAAACGAGAATTTGAAGAAGATAGAAAAGTTGTGTGAACAATTGGCTCAGATAGAGAATAAACTTAATACTGAAAGGGCTTCTTTGGTAAATACACTAGTTTCGGATTTGAATACGTTGGATTTGAGTCAGTTGGTGCAAGAAAAGCAAAAAATAGAGGAATTGATTTCTGGAGAGGAAAAAGACGAAAAGCGTGCGGAATTTCAAACACAACTGAATAAAATTACTACGAATATAAAAAGGAAACGAAAGTTATCAGATTTGGAGAATTTAATTGATCGCACAATGTATCGCACTCCACCAAAAGCTGCGAAGAATGACTTGCCAGATCCAAATTTGGATACAGAAAAGGAGAAGACAATAATTCCATCCAATTTATTGTTGAGCGAGGGGGCATCTAATGTTCCTCCTGGGGAACCCTCAAGCATTATTGTATCCAATACAACAACCTCTGGCAGTAACACGATCAGTACTTCTACCAGTACGAATGTTAGAAGTACTGCTAATTTCGATTTTCCGAAAAAAATTGAAACAGAGGAGGAAAGGAAAGCACGTTTGCGGGAAGAAAAGATGCACGTAGAAGATTTCTTCCAGAATTTGCAAATTGTCGATGATTCAAAGGGAGCAACCCCAAAGAAGCCAATCAGGAAAAGTACTTTTGATCATGATGACTCTGTTGATTTTTCGAAGCCATCGAATCAAAATACTCATTCACTTCCAAATTTGGAGTTAAGTGATAGTGATTTGTTTAAAAAATTCAAAGAATACGATTCAACACCAGTTAGAGCTAGTTATCCGAAAGGTTCTATTGAAAAGACGAAAAGAGTCCAATTTTCAGGTCCAAAATATTTGGAACAAATTGTTTCCGATTCGTCGCGAGATAAAACTTTGAAGCCATCGGTACCTTGCATGGGTACAGAACAATTGTGTCAACAAAGAAACACTTTTGAACAAGGTTATACAGATCCAGACACATATACACAGTCATATTTTCAAAACAAATTTAACCCTCTACCTAAAGAATCTTCGACAAATCAATATGAACAAAACCGATTTTCGGATACATACAGTCAGCCTGTTTTTAATGATGTTCCACACGAGTATGATGATAATATTTTTAACAATCAACAAGGACCTTTTAACTCTATAAATTATTCTCAACGATCACCATACAATATGGCACAAACCTTTTCCAATCCAATGAACAATAATTTCAATCAGAATTTTGCGAACAATCGGGGAGCTCAGAATCAATCTTTTTCCAGTCCAATCTTTTCTGCAACTATTCGGGATTCATACATCAGACGTTTAAGGTCAATTCCAATTTTTAACGGATCAAGTTACAAAGATTTAAGGGAGTTTTTGGATGTAACAGACACGTTACGCAATGCGTGTTTAAATGAACAAGAATTGAATGAATTTTATGAACAAGCTATTTTGCAGTTGAGGGGAGAAGCAAAACGTGTCATCTCCGGGTCAGAATATAGCGATTGGAATGTAATAAAAAGAAAACTTATCTCTCACTTTTCTTATTTGGCAAATAAGGACATTATAACCAGTCAGTTGGAAAATTTGAAGCAAGAAAAGGATGAATCCTTAACAAAGTTTGCTGAAAGAGCAAGGAAATTACTACAAGAAAAAGATAGTATGTACACACATTTGACGTCAGATCAGAAATTCGAGCATAATCGAATGGCAAGGAAATCATTTATTAAGGGAATACAGAATGACAAGCTTCGTGAACGGTTGGCTATTCGTGGAGCCTCAAGTTTGGAAGACGCTATTTCCTTTTCAATCGAAATGGAGACTGATGCGATGACGCAAATTCCAAAATATGAACTATTTTATAGATTATGTTCGGTGAATGGACACCGAGAAAATCAATGTCGCCGAAGAAATAATAATGCCGATTTCAACGGAGTTATTTCTGCATTACAGGCGTTGAATTCCAATTCGGGTTTTAGACCTCGGGGTATTAGACCATTCAACAATAATAACTCTCGATTTGGTTGGAATCGCCCCACTGAGAATATGAATAGTCGTTTCAATATGAATAACAACCGTTTTTCAAGACCAAATATGTATAACAACAACTTCCCTGGTAATAATATGTATAATGATCGATTCTTTGGATCTAATATGCATGGTAACCGTTTTTCTGGTTTCAATATGAACAATTATCGTTTCCCGGATAGAGGTTTTAATAATAATAACGGGAACTATCGTTTCCAGAGTAATGGTCGCTTTTCTGGAAGAAATGACAATAATAACGGTTTGAACAGAGTAGAAAACTCTCAAATGGTTAGAAATGAGGGTTTCAATAGAAATAATAATGGTATTGGTAATACTGGTAACGACAATGGCTTTAGCCAAAACGCAAATCGTTATCCGAATCGTTTCAACGGCAGATCGAATCAAATTAATTTGGTTAAAACTTCTGAATCCGTAAGAGATTCGGAAAACTAAATGGGATGGGGAGAGACGATCGACTCACCTCTTCCATTCAGCCAAAATTGTCTATCAATTTCCAAACTTCAATGAATAATCACGCTACACTAAAAACTTTAATGAATTTTCAAAACGTATCAGAAGTTATAAATGCGGGAGATGTACGGTTAAATATAGTACAAGAAAGTGAAGCAATATTTGTGTATGTAAATTCAAATCTGAACAATGGGACACTTAAGTTTTTGGTCGACACTGGAGCGAGCATTAGTATAATAGCAAGAGAGGTGGTTTCAAGGGATATAAAAAGAATGAACTATGTAGTAAAGTTATTTGGAATTTTGGGCAAACAGAAATCGGTCGAAACAAATGGTATAATAAATGCGATATTTGAAATAAACAATCAATATTTAGGTGCTGTTTTACATCTAGTTGATGGACAGTGCTTGGGAGATAAATTTGCGGGAATTCTTGGTTATGACGTATTGACTTGCTATAAAGCTGTAATTGATATGAATAAAATGATATTACATTTTAATTTAAAAGAGGCGATGAAAGTAAATGAGGAGATTGAAAATGGGAAGGTTAAATATGAAGAAGTTGAAATTATTAAGAAGAAGAAAATGGACGAAGTTAAAAAAGAGGACGAGGATTTTATACTAGAAGGAAGTGGAAAGTTTGATGAAAAAGAAGAGAATTTAAACACAAAAGGAATTATGGAAAGGAACGATGATATTGAAGAAAAGATTTTTATTGACCTATTAGTACAGGCATATGATTTCGAGGAACCGAATAAGTTTGAAGATAAAAAACATGACATTGAAGTTGAGGATAAAGGAAAAGGAGAGGAAAATAATTTCGTATTTAAGCTCGGAAAATTTTATGAATTCGATGAAGAAATGAAAAATAAATATAGATATGAAATAAATTCTGACGATGAAAATAAAATTAAAGGATATTTAGAAGAAGAAAATATTAAGAATAAAAGGAGAGAGGAAAGAGTCCGAAAGCATTTTATTAAATATGTCAACGCGGTTAATTTTTATGAGAGGGAAATGAAGAAAAGAGAGGAAATGAAATTGAACTCGGGATTAAATAAACAGAAACACATATATCTGGAAGCTCAAGAGTTGTCATCTCCAGCCGATCGACCAGAAATAATTCGCCAGTCTTTGGATTTATCACACTGTTCTCAGATGGAAGAAGACTTCATAGACAAAATCTGTCGAAATTTTAGTTATCAATTTCATATACAGGGCGATATTTTGGGTTCCACTGATGTAATAAAACACGTTATAAGATTGATTCCAAACGCAAAGATCGTTAATTGCAGACAGTATAAATTACCTCAATCACAGAAGGAAATTTTAAAGGAAATGGTATTGGATTATGAAAGGCAGGGACTGATAGAAAAGTGTCAAAGTATTTTTAATTCACCTGCAATTTTGGTTAGCAAAAAGGACGATCATGGGGGAAAAACGGCTCATAGATTCGTGGTTGATTATAAAAAATTGAATGAACAATGTGAAACAACATTCGTGCCTATGTTAACGGTTGACGATATTTTGAATGGCCTAGGCAAATCAGAATATTTTTCAACGCTTGACATTCATAGCGCTTTTCATCAGATTATGATGGACGAAAACTCAAAGGATTACACGGCATTTTCAGTTGAAAACTTTCAGTATAGATGGAACCGGATGCCAATGGGTCTGTCGGGGAGCCCAAATTCATGGATCCGCGGAATTAACATAATAATGGCTGAATTAATATCACATGGCCTGTTTACTTACTTAGATGATTTGATTATTTATAGTGACACTAAAGAAGGGCATGATAGGATCCTTTGGAGAGTGATGGAGTTGCTTAGAGAAAATAATTTACAATTAAAAATATCCAAGTGCTGTTTTTATGCGAAGGAGTTTGAATACTTGGGCCATATTATCTCAAAATTTGGGATGCGCGTGAATCCGAAGAAAATTGAAGCGGTTAAGAACTATCCACGTCCAACAACAGTTAGACAGGTCCAAAGTTTTTTGGGGTTATTGAATTACTTCAGAAGATACATAAAATCTTTTGCAAAAACGGCAAAACCTTTAACATTGTTGACCAAGGTTAATCAGCCCTTTGTATGGACAAAGTCACAAGAAGAAGCTTTTGTTAAATTGAAGACGATGTTAGCAGAGGATGTTATCCTACAATTTCCAAACTTTGACGAACTCTTTTACGTTACAACTGATGCATCTAATTATGCGATTGGGGGTATGTTGTCGCAAGGAACAATCCCACACGATCGACCAGTCGCTTTCTTTTCAAAGACACTATCAGAGAGTCAGATACGTTATGCAACTATTCAAAAGGAGCTATTGGCAATAGTAGAATGCATCAAATCATTTAGAATGTATTTGTATGGAAGGTTTTTCATTTTGTATACCGATCATCGAGCATTAACGTACTTATTTGGAATGAAAGATTGTAATTCTAGACTTTATAGACAACGATTAGAATTGATGTCATATGACTTTAAAATTATCTATCGGAACGGAGCAAACAATCAGGTGGCCGATAGTTTAAGTAGAATCCCTCATACATCAAACTCAGATAATGCTTTAAATGAAGCTTTATCTATCGAGGAGATTATGGAGAGGGATAAAGCAAAAAGCTGTTTTGTATTGACGCGGGCTCAAGCTAATGCTGAAGGGAGTAAATTGTTTATTGAAGAGAGAAATGGGACAATATTAAGAAAAGGAAATTATGATTTAATATTTCACTTGATTCCGGTTGAGACAGATATATTGAAGGAGAAAATTATGAACAAATTTGGTATAATAATTAAAGTTGGAACGCAATTTAAAAAGTTTTTTGGATATCATTATTACAAGGTCATTTCAAATCAATATGCTAATAATCAGAATAAGAATGACACTCAGAAGTGCATGGGGGAGATATTGGAGATATGTAAAGAAGGGAAATTCAGTTCAATAGCGGTCAATGTGGATTTCGAGAGTTTACGTCACTATTTGTTTCTTAAAAATATCTCGGAAGAAATATTTCGGGGTCAAAACATAGAAGTAACTTTTTACTTGAATAAGATAATTGAACTGAAAGAGAGAGAGGATATAGATACGATTCTTGATCAGTTTCATAAATCAATTTTGGGAGGACACATTGGGATCCCTAAGATGATACAAACAATATCAAGATTTTACCAATTTGACAACATGGCCAATATAATAAAAAGTTACGTAAAAAACTGTGCGGTTTGTGAAAAAACTAAAATCAAAACCAATAACAAGGTACCCATGCAAATCTCTACCTTGGGACAATGTCTTATGGATTTTATTTACGTGGACTTTATCGGTCCAATTGAAGCCAGTGAAAGGGGGAACAAATATATATTCACAGTGATTTGTGATTTGAGTAAATATTTGGTAGCAGTACCCACAACTGACTGTAGTAGTCTGACGGCAGCCAATTGTCTTTTGGAACATGTAATATGTAGATATAACATACCTTCAAGGCTGATTTCGGATAATGCAACGGGATTTACTTCACAGATAATTAAAGAATTAACAAAGCTGTTTGCAATAAAAAAGATATTCTCAACTAGATACCACCCTCAGAGTAATATAGTCGAAAGAAGCCATAGATGGCTCAACCAGTATTTACGCGCATACACCGAAAAGAATCGGGGATCTTGGGACGACGTCCTAAAATACGCCGTGTTTGTTTACAACACAACAGTTCATTCAACAACCTCTTACACGCCACATTACTTAGCTCATGGTTTTGACATTCAGTTACCAAATCACTTGAATAGACCTAAATTATCATATAATTACGAAAATTTTGCGAATAATGTTCACAACAACATAGCTATGGCTTTAGAAATTGCAAGGGAGAATTTAATGAAGAAGAAGGAACAAAATAAAAAGTATTACGATTCGAATGCTCATGAATGTGTTATCAATGTGGGGGATAAGGTTTTGATCAAAAATATGGTCAAATCACATAAATATTCAGATTGCTATGATGGTCCATACTCGGTTATAAATGCAGAAGATGCATACGTGGAGGTTCTAAGAAAGGGAAAGCATGTTAAAATCCATAAAAACTTAATAAAGAAAACTCAGGCAAATCACGACACATAAATCCTAATAAAATTGTATTTATTTTTAAAATAGAATGGCTAGACTAAGCGACTTTGGCATACTCCAGATCAATAGACTCGAGGGAAGAGTAAGACATACTCCGGATCAGTATAAGGAGTTAACAAGATCAGAAATAAAAGATCGAGTTTCGAACAATTTGTTTTCAAAGGAAGAACGGAGAGATATTAGTAAATGGAGTATCTCTATGATAATTGATTGCCCAATGAGCAGAGAGCTGCTTAGATACTTTTTGCTGATGAATTTTAGAAAGAAAACATATTCGGAATATTATTTGGAATTGTATGAACTGTGCGAAGAATTGAATGGGGATTTAAACAGTCGTCCTGTAGAATATGTATTGGAGAAATTCTACAGGAATTGTCCAAAAAAATGTAAAAACGAAAAGTTTCTGAAGTACATTAAGGAGGATGGCAGTAACGTTCCGACAATACTGGAAGAACTTCAGTTATTGATAAAATACAAAATAAAATTCCGATACCAAGAGTTTAAGACATTCGAGATTTTCTTAAAGAACTGAGAAGAGACAATTCAACCGTTAAAAATATATCCTTTTGGTTGTTTCTTTCTTTCAAACAGCAATATGGAACACTTCATAGTAATCGGATCTGAGAATTTCTACAAATCAATATTAATTTCAATGTGTAGACACTCCAAAATACTGAGGAGAAACCTTTTTGCTACCCAAGAAATCAAAAGGATTAGAAGCTTTACGGAGAAAAGAATATTTCGAGATCCAGTTTCGTCCCAACTTTTTGAAGAATATTTAATTGATAAATTTCCGAAGACATGTAAAGAAATAATTAACATTTGTAACTGCAAAATATTGTGCGATAAAATTAGATGGGGGTA